GACTTGAAAGAGATTTTGAACTAGCTTTCAAGACATTTGATGTGGACACCATTTAAAGGCAGGGAAGTTTGGAAGGAACGAAGCAAAGCCAGAGAAGAACTATGGTTTGTTCAGAAAAAACAAACATACTTGCAGCTGTTTTCACTGTCCATCCTGTGAGAGACGACACATAATCAATATGTCTGGAGAAGCAAAAGTAGGTCGCTGTGGTGCTAGTCAACAGCCACTCCTGATTGAAATCACTCTAGGACATGGCAAATTACAGTGTTTTGCAAAACAATCAGCGGAGAGCCTGGAGTACTGCTGCTAAAATAAATACATAATCTGCATCCTTCAGACCGTTTTGATCTAAAACAACAGTGAAGCACTTCAAAAACACTCCACTCTCCTCCAGTACGGACTTGTCCTTATGACCTTCTGGATCGACTGGCCACTTGACCGCCGTCAATTTGCTGTGTTTGACTCGAGAGATCAACAACCATAAGGTGAAGAGGAGCTGAAAGGTACAGAGAGGAAAATCAGTGTGTGGTTCAAGTTTTCAAAAACATGATTGTCCTGATTGTGGTGCGGCGATGAAGTGATTAGTCCGTAATTGGATTTTCAATGTTGGGCCTTTGTAAAAGAACCATCTGTGACATAACGCAACAAGGCACAGTCTGCTTTGGGTCTCTGAGAATTATTCTCTCAATCAAACATGAAAAATTAAAGCATTTTATCTGTTTTTTTGTTTGTTTGTTTTTTTCATTACAACAAGGTTACCGTCTATCTAAAATGGCTAACTGTAAGAGGTGAGGATCAATTAAATCAAAGCAAAAATCTATTCAACAATTGTCAAGGAAAAAAAAATCAATTAAATGTTGACCAGCTGTAGCCACTCCATCAGTCATTTAGTCGCAAGGATTATTGACTCAATCAATGTCTTAAACTTTGCACAAATGGTAATTTATGGACTGTATCCAGGTAATAAATCACCAATCTATATTCTGTAGAAACGTATGTGACGGACCCAGGGCCCAGTGTGATTTTTGAATCTGTACAGATTAACAACAGACTCTCAGGTGGGTCGCAAGAGGATTTTTCTGGGTCGTCTCTCATCATGTTTCCCAGGAGTTTACGAATAATGTCTATTGACTTGGGTCGCGAAGGTTTGTGACAATAAGATGAGGTGACATCACTACTTGACAAGGAAGAGAGGGTCAGGTTTTTGAAGTCAAGAAATGTAATACAGTATGACCTTAAATAACCTATGAATATGTTAGTTACAACGTTATGATATAATGTTAACCTTTACTAACCCTTACCTCAGGTCATGAACTGGTCTTTGCGGCTTGACTCTCAGTGGCCACAAGGTAACACTATAAAGCATTAAGTGGTTCATGAAACCAGATCCTTGAGACCTGGAGGCAAACTGAAGCCTGGATAAATGGCACCTTCATTTCTAGGTACACACCAGACTACGTCTACATGTGCATCATGAACACACAGTGACCGGAATGGCACCACACTCAGACCACCTGCTCATACATCAGGTCATCTCATAACCCCCATCCTCAACGGAACAAGACAAAAGCAGTCATGTGCTGACTCTGTGTTCCCCTCAGACCTCCAGTCTGTCCTACTGAACTTTATACACACCGTGCCGTGCCAACTGTCACTGGGTCACGCATCAGCCCGCCAGCTTCATAAATCTGTGCCGTGTTAGCAACTTCCTGAACAGTATTCAGAATGTAAAAACACAGGAGCAGACTGGACTTAGACAGAGATCAGCACGGCTGATTATTTTTAATGATTCTATCATTTGTGCAGACTCTCCCCCCCCTTTACACAACAAGGCTTTTCTGGTCCCCTTTAATCCTTCCCCTCTCTCTGCCTCTATGCATAATCCAGTGCTATTTTAAGCAAGGATTTTTTTTTTTACCCAGAATCTGCACTGCTTCTATGCTTCTGCTTCCTGTCTCTATCCTTGTGCTGTGATCCTAACCCCCTGCTGGTTCATCCAGCTCGCATCTAAATCATTTAAAAATGTAACAAGGCAAGGAACACCGTAACCACGACTCCCGCCTCGTAGAAATGTTGCCCTGAACCGAACACATGCACGTCGTCCCCAGATATTGACGGGTGTGCTGTGAAGAAGAAGCTTTAAAGAGGAGAGATTGTTAGGAAGTGCTTATAACTGCTGTCAGGATAAAGAGAGAGAGAGAGAGAGAGAGAGAGAGAGAGGTCGATCTTGTAAAGCGAGTACCAGTAGCTTGACGTTCAGCTTTCTTTGCCGAGACAAAAACCTTATTCGATTAAGTTTGACTACAGAACTAGGTCACAATTGAAGAAATGTTTCTCTCACAATAGTGTAGTTGAAGCCTCCACTAATGCATGCTGGGTATTCGGATGTACAGTAAGTTTCTTCACAAATAAAAACTCTTTCTTTCAATGTGTGCAAATAACGTGTGCATCAATTGGTATTTAAGCAAAGATAACTAGATAGACCGGGCATGGGCAAACTAAGGCCCGGGGGCCAGATGCGGCCCATTCAGCTTTTTTAATCCGGCCCTCCAAATTTTCCCAAATGATATAATTTATTTATATTATCATTATACTTCTGCCTTTTCCCTGCAATACCTACGTTTCCCCAGTAGATGATGTAGAAAATGATAAAAGCATCTGAGCATTTATGCATAACTTTTACATGTCCTTTATCTACGTTCACATGTATAATACTTTACGTTTTCAAGTAGGAACACACACACACACACACACTCACAGGTTTGTGTTCCATCTGACTTTTATTGAGAGGTGTGAGGACCAGGGGGCAGCTAGCCATGCAGAGATCAGGCATGGTAGTGTGCATTAGTGTGGTACTGGCGTTTTACCTGAATACTGATCCTGAGTCAGCGCTAGTCATTGACGGTAAATGTTTTGATAGAGCATGAATGAATCCCTGGCGGACACTCCTGCAGCTGTAATTCAGTTTGAATCTGAATTTTCCATTGTGAAAGCAAAGATACAGTTATACACCGACGTGTGTGTGTGTGTGTGTGTATGAGCAGACACTGGACGTAAGCACGGATTAAAATAAAGTGGAAAAACCCCAGTGGTTGTGCATAGTATTTAGAAAGGTTTGTGCTAAGAGGGCTGAGAGGTGCATTACATACATCTGCAAGGTTGACAAAAAAACAAACAAAACAAAAGCAGAATCTGTATTTAGACTGGAAGTCAGCGCCCCCTTTCTCAACTATTGGGTAGATGCAGTCAACCAGGTCAGAGTGTTGTTCAAAGTCAGTATATATATATATATATATACATATATATATATATAAATATATATATATATGAAGCTTCTTATTAAGGCTATTTACAAATACTGTCATGTCTTTGTCTTTACACTTATTGCTGCGACAAAGGCAGTGTGTTCACTGTGTTCCTGCCTTAGGGTTTGTTGTTACGGAACAATAACGTAGGTGATGGGAGGTGACTTTGCCTATTGCTGCAACAATAACATCTCCACGGTTACCCATAAGTCACCACGTGTGCTGATAAGACTAACACTTAGTTTGGTTATAGCTCGTCCACGTGAATTCTGAGGAAGAAAAAGTGTCAGCGCAGCACTTCTTTCTGCCGTACGATGCTGGGGACGCACCGCCGTATGAAGCTGTACATTAAAAAACACAAAACCCATGAAGCAGGCAGAGTCTACGACGACAGGGAAGCAGCTCGTGGTGATTGATTTCAGAGGTGCATGGAGCAGAGTGAACATTAAAACCAGAGGGTGGAAAGTCAGCGTGACTGAAGGACGTACCGAGAAAGAAGCTCCCCTGAGGTGCACGCAGGACATTCGTCACATCAGAGCCGCGGAGCACGAAAACTCAACTGTAATCTGATCACAGGAGAACAGTCCAAAATAAAGTGTGTGCGTGTGTGTTATGACTTTCATTTGACCAAAGTGGAGCTGTATTGAAATACCTGAATCTCTCCCAGAGAAATCAGCAGAAACGGATTACGAATCTGTAACCCAGGAGAAGAGAGGTGAGGTCTGCAAAATATAAGAGCGGACGCAACTTCATTAACCCAAACTGCTAAAGAACAAAAGATGCTACCACACACAGCTACAGCCTATTACACGCTCACGTCTTGTTGCCACGAACATTGAAGTGCAGACAGTTTGATCAAAAGTTCATTAATATGGGCCTCGACATCATCGCAAATGTCATTACTTTATTGTTGGTTTGTTTTTTTGCAGATAGAAGGCCAGTGGGAATTGGCCAGTGAGGTAACCGGGCTCTCTGCCCACTTAACCCCTTGTATGCAATGCTACATATTTTCTAGTTGTAATAAACCACACTGAGTTCAGTTGTGCTACAGTAGAAAAAACCCCAAAGAAAAGTAGCTGTCGATAAGCCTGCCCTTGTCTCAACCTCTCCGAGCCACTGTGGTCCATTACAACATTGCGTCAGTTGTCCACTCCAGCTGCCTACACTTCTGGAGGAGGTGGCGGTGGTTGGCTGGCAGTCAACCACGTGTTGGGTAAACACTCCTCAGTCAACGTCTCTATCAAAACGAGTGTCACGGAGGAATGTGCTGCCATCAAATCTCCATCAGGTACTTCACCGGGACCAAGCCTCGCTTCTTTCCACTCGTCAGGCGAAGGAAACCGTCGGCCTCTTCGCTCTTCCCCACGCAGATCTGCGGAAGGTCAGGAGAAGAGGGATTGAGGAGAAGAGGAGTTGACAGAAAGACGGCACACACAGGCATTAGAGAGACTGTGAAGCTGTAGCACGCTGCCCTCTGTGACCTGGGGAACATTCCAGATGGATTTGCATATATTTATGACTGCATTTACGGCACGTGTATTCCTCTGTGTGTGTGTGTGTGTGTGTAAATGTGCGTGTGACGTCTGTTCACCTGGGCCTCTTTTACAGTCATCTGCCCTTTGTCTCTGTTGCCATGGAAACCGGCCGTGACCTTCCATACTCTCTCACCGGGCCGAACTCGATGCACAAAGTTGGCTGGGAAAAATCCAACTTTGTCTCTGCTTTTCCCCTGAGAGACAAAGACACGTGCACGAACAAGTGAGCGTTCGCCCTTGGAAAATAGCAAATGACAAACTGATGAATTCAAATGAATGCTAATATTGTTATGATTATTTTATTTATTGCTTGTTATTTTCTAGACTTTTTCTCACTGTGAATTCAGATCATGTTATACATCATTAAACTGCAAACATTTGTTCTGGACATTTCTATATCTAAGCTCTTCATATGTCATTTTTAAAATGTTTTTATTATTCAGAGTAACTTGTTAATTCAAGAATATATTTGCTAATCCGTTAATGAAATGAATATTGTCAACAGGAGTCCAGGATCTGCTGTTTTGCATGTCATCATCGTCTGATAACTATATTCTAGGTATAATTATCCATACAAAGTTTTAATATCATCCTTCCAGAATAACATCATCCAATTAATTAAATAGTCTGTGTTCATCAAAATAGGCCCTTGGGTATTTTTAAATCAAAAAATATTATTTTTATTTATAGTTTTATAGCTTTTATTTGCATAGAAAACAAAGCTAAAGATACTCTGCTGCTTTATTAGACACATGGCTGTGAGCTGTCAGTTTCCTTCAGATGTGAAGTAGTTCTGCCAACAACCACTCCTGCTGTCCTTTAAGAACACCCACAGACTCCTTTGTGTCATTGTCTCTGAACACCTCGTGGAATAAATGAATATCTCTGTCAAGGAAACAGGAAAGAGACATTATTTTTAGCCACTGCCTTTACAGCTTACCTTCCACCAGTCCTCGTTGGAGTCGTCTGTGACTTTAATCCTGTCTCCGGGTCTGAATTCAAAACAGACAAAACACCCCATGAGAAGTCTTGTATTAATACAGGCCACAGTCACACTGTCGGCCATGAACAGACCCCAGACGGGTCTCCAGTCCGCGCTGGGCCACATAAAAACAACAAGTTATAAAAACGCCCCAGAGAACACATCCACGCAGGTGTTTAAATGCCACAGTGTTGGTAATGTCTGCTGTAGGGCAACATTGCTAGCTATCACACAAGGGCATTGGTTTTGCTTACCTAAAATATTGCAATACTTACTTCTCTTGTACTTCTCAAACACAAATAGGGGGCATGGGAAATTGCTGATATTAGCATATTATGTAATACTGTATCCGTAAGAATCGTTATCAATAACGCAATGCCTGGGTTTCACCAAATGACGTGTGCTCTAAAAATAGTTTTGGGGATAAACGGCTGTATATTAAAGTGAAAGTCACTAGATGGCAGCGTTGAAGCTCATTTAATTCATCTCAGACTCAATACAGTGGTTTGTACAGATAAATAAATAAATATTACCAGGCCTATATCGGTATCGATTGATATCGGAATCGAACATTAAGTGTTTGGACAATATCGGATATCGGCAAAAGGTTAATATCAGACATTCTTACATTATATGTCGGGATATATGCAGCTCTATGGCACATATTTATCTCATTGATTTTTTAAATTTGATTTTAATTGCTCCTGATCTACTAGCACTCCATTTGCCATCTATTGGTAGATAGCCACCACTGCTCTAAACTGGCCCAAGGTCAGCTCCAGCACCAGCTCCCCTGCATCCCTGCAAAAGACTAAGCTGGAGATGTGGATGCATGGATGGAATTACAGCTGTTCATGTTGTGCAGATAAATACAGATCAGGTTTGTGAACACTCTCCTGTATTTCTCACAACATAACATAAAATTATACTGCATTAATGAACTGCAAGTACATACGTATATTAATCTTCGACTGCACTGTCCTTGGATCTCATTGAACACAGTACACCGTACACGCAGTACTGAGATCTGATTTAAGTGTACTCCTCTGTCCAGGTGAACACACACTCTAGCTCCAGCTCTCCTCCTGTGTAGGCACATTCTCCAGACCAGTGGTGGGTGTCAAAGCACACTCAGCACTTTCCCACAGCTACAATCGCACTCGGACATTTACGACCGTTACACACTCCCAGGTATCTGTCCTTCTGGACTCCCATCGCGCTCCCTTCTTCCTCCCACCACCCTGAACCTTGTAACCCCCCTGTGATCGTACCGCTGAGAAGACAGATGGTGTGTGAGTAGCAGTAAATTCTAGCCAGGTAAACACGTTGTCCTCTATTGAACAAAATATAAAAGGAGAAGAAAAACCCACCGTAGCTCTAAGTCATCCTTCTCCTGAGGCAGGAACTTGTAGAGAGCCACGTAGGTGTGGATGGAGGGGACGTCTAGTTGTTTGGGTGTCTGACACACACATAAAAAAAGACAGTTTTAGCCACAGTAGGATGAAATGTGTGTGTGTGTGTGTGTGTCATAGGGAAGAGAATGTTGAAGTTCACCGAGAAATTCACCTTCAGACTGACTCTGTCTTCGGAATCAGCTTTCTCACTTTCGGGAGGGGTGAGCACTGGAAAGACGAAAACAAAGATGTGGAAAAAGACGAAGACGTGAAAGACACACATTTGATCACATGGAAAACAGAAAGGAAGGGGAAAAGAAAACAACAAAAAAATGAAGGTGTGCAGAGAGTGAGAGTGAGAGAGAGAGAGAGAGAGAGAGAGGGGTTGAGTCACTTTGCAGCAAACCGAGGCAAGGTTAAGAGAAGGTTATTAACAGTGAAGTGGCAGCAGAACAAACAGAGTTGATCCCTTCTCCTGGGACTGAAGGCAGAAAGGAAAAAGTACCGGGCTAATGCACAAAACCACCTCCACTATAGCACATAACGCTACAGAGATACGAAGTAAGAATGTCTTTTTCTGTTGGATTGGACTTTTTTGCCACTACAGTAGAAATATTTCATTTTTTAAAACTTTATTATATTACCTAGGGATGTCGATATTATCGGTCCGATATTAGCGTATTTTGTAATAGCTGTATGAATCGTTATTGGTTTTTCCTCCAATAATGAAAACCCGATAACGCAATTTCTGGGTTTCACCAAATGATGTGTGCTCTAAAAATAGTTTTGGGGATAAACGGCTGTATATTAAAGTGGAAGTGACTGGATGGCACTGCAGTTCATTTAATTAATCTCATACTCATACAGTTGTTTGTATAGATAAATAAATAAATATTACCAGGACTATATCGGTATCGGTTGATATCAGAATCGGAAAATAAGTGTTTGGACAATATTGGCATATCGGCGAAAATTTAATATCGGACATCACTAATATTATCAAATCTGTGTCTGAACTACAGTATATGATAACATTTTTCCCAACTGTTTGACAGAAAGAAATACATTTATGGTTGGACCTTCTGTCACTTTTTAACCTGACTGACACAGTGATATTGGGCTCAGAGTACTACGATATATAAAGTAAAGGGTATGAATATTTTAGTAATATGGTTCTTCTTACTTCCTGGTATGTGTTCCTCTTCAGGTATGGGCTGGTTTTCTAGTTTGTCTTGCTGTTTTTCTCCCTTGAAAAAAAACCGTCAGAGTCAATATTCTCCTTTGTGATTGACGTCAGCAGAGTTGCACTGCAAGTGGAGGTCGGGGGTGGGGGGGTGTGGGGTCTGCGTCTTTCATACCTCATGACTGGGAGACTCGGAGATGCTGCCGAAGCTGGAACGACTCATCTGAGCCAGCGATGTCCCATAGCGCAGCGCTTCATATACTGGGTCAACAGTGCCGTTCTCGGCTTCTGTACACAGACAGAGGAGGGTGGGAGTGAACGTCACGTGTACAAGTTATAGCTGTGAAATAACGACTGTCAAGCATCAAGGCCTGAGGTCGTCAAGATATCAGCTTTTTGCTGCTGTGATAAATCAATCTGGGCTTCAATCACTCACCCTGAGCAGCAGGAGCCTCTCGGACCACACCCAGGGGATCGATGGTCAGCAGAGGAGAGCTGAAGTTTCTTTTGAAAGCCCCCGACTGCTGGGCCAGAAGTGAGACAAAAGGACGAAAAAAAAAAAGATAAGGGAGAAATCGAATGCTTTTCAAGGCAGAGTAAAGGATAACGCACTGAGGTTTATGAAGGAAATATGAGCCTGTAGTAATAAAAGCTGAGTATAAAACAGCAGTCTAGATGTCATTTCAGTCTAATCGAATTAAATTCTATTTATGAAAATTACACAGATGCAGATAAATAAGTGAGGCTCCTTCAACACTAAAATCTTCTTGTGAGTGTAAAGAAAATTACATTCATTTGAATTGTTTCAGACCCAAACATTTATTTCAAGTATTCTTGTGCTGCAAGCTATGCCAAGATACTGTATGTCTCTGATCTTCTTCAAATGTTGTGGAGTTGATTCGTTTATCCTGTCCTTCGGCTTATTCTAAACTCAAACGTAGTCATGAGTTCAGATGTTCATGTATTATTTTAAAATTTGGGCAAAAAAAATAAAAGTCTAATCAACCAAACATTCACAGCCCCCGAAGTACCACCCTGAGGTTGCGGACCCTATATTGAAGACCTGCAGAAGACGACATTGATTTTGTGACAATTAAATATACTTTTTAAAATTTTTTTTTTCTTTTCTATCCAAGTCGTCTGTTGTGCGGTGAGGTAAATCAAAGGCCAAGTTCTGCCGTCCGCACTTCTCCTGAAAGTACTGTGATCAGCTTTAAGATGTGATTGGGTTTCCTTATTTAGCAGCAGAACTTTCTTTAGCTCCAGTACATGACTAATCATCAGGAGATATCAGAGTCCTGTTTGGACGGTGACACATCTGTTGTTGTGCTGCAAATAGAAACAGTTTTTAAAGATACTATCTCAGCTTCACTTGTCCGCTGTCATCTGTTTCATCATGAGATACGATATGAAAGCGATTGCATCGGATGATTGAATTTAATATGCGAGTCAATTTCTGTCCTCCAGGGTTCGGACCGTCTTCATTAGAAGATAAAAAAAAAGCAGCTCCTACAGATTTGGGTGCTGTTCGGTGCTGGCAATGTTCTCTCCTCAATTCCTTAATGGATAATACATTTTCCAATGTTAAAAAAAAAGAAAATGCAGCGTCACACGCAGTGGCCTCTGCTGGAAATGTGCAGACAGGTAAAAGGTACCTCAAAGACTGCAATGCGAGCAGTTACAAAAGCAAGAGCTGCAACTTTTTAGAACGTTTTCATTAAGTTTTTAATAAAAACTAAATCTCCAGGGTTTTAGGGCGAACTAGCTGGTATTTTCAAAATAATAATATTAAAAAACAGATTATGCATACAACAAAAATCTTTAAATGTATACTACGTTATACTTATTTGATGCCTATTTCACTTAAAAAACCATTCAACAGATGTATTTAAACCAACTGAAAACTCTTGTCTATTTACCACAAGTATTATTGATTGACTTCAGCCATATTTAGTTCTCCAACACAGACCTATAACCAAGCATCCGTTTTTAAAACCTATTTAATGATTATTTATGCTTTATTGTTTTGCTCTTCACGCACTCCGCAGGAAACAGGAAATAGAGCTAATCTGTAGGTAGACTCGTTAAATCCCATCTCTTGGTCAGATTACGTGAATTAACGAGCGACAATCGGCCTCATCTCCTCCGCCGGTGCTGCAAACGGAGACAAAGTGAGCTGCTCTGGACTGAAGCCGAGACTCGTGATTTCATCAGCGTCGCAGACCTTCCCGTTCTCATCAGATAGCCCGACACTTCCTCTCTAATTACATTTCATTCTATGGGTGATAGTGAGCGCGCATTACGGGATGATGGTCTCATGCATCGGAAAAGAGATTGTTTTACTCCCTGCCCTGTAAAGATCCGGAGAATGTAAGAAAAAGTCCGTGACTGCTGGACTAAAAGTTCGGCTACTGACCGCGTGTTTCCCTGCCATGGCTGTTATTTTTGTGTGCAGCTCAGCAGACGCTCTCATTTAATCAAACTATAATGAGTCTTTACGTTTCTTTTACATTGATTAGCCATTTTAATGCGAATGCTCCTTTCTGCCAGCACCAAACTTCCCTAAAGCCAAAGTCCACTGTCCTGCTGTTTGAACACAAAAGGTTTAGATCAGAGTTCCTCGTGGTTCCTGTCTCAACGTCTAATCCATGCTTTGATGAGTATGCAGTGATCGGAAAAGGACGCCGTCCAAAGGCCCGTTGGGAGCACACCGTGTCACATCCTCCAGGGATGTAGAGAGCATCAAACACACTGAATTTCCCATTGAATTAGCCAGAGCAGTTGGTAAAGAGAGACATTGATTTTACAATCGAGTTGCAACGGGAGGAGAGGAAATGTAGCAAGAGAGAGGAAGAGAAAAGAGGAAGATACTGGACTATGACCATTAAAACTCCACTGCCTGTTCTCCTCCTTTACACTCCATTGTAGCCTTTTATGACGCCTGCACCCATTTGCTGCATCCTAGTCATTTTTTGCAAAGCGTCAGTCAATCCACATTCCATTTATAGCAGTGGTGCTTCTGGTGCTTGCCGCTTTGAGTAGGGATTTATTCTCCGTTAGCACGATAGAGGCTTTGAGGCTAAGCATATAACCGGGACTAAGAGCGATGCCAAGAGACCGAAAGACAATTACAGCATCCAGAGGCTGTTGTTTTTAATTCTACTGGCAATACGTTCCGGTTCTGCCTCAACACGGTTAAATTCCCATAATTATTTTTAAAAAACACATAAAACACAAAAATGTGAAAACAACAAGTTTAAACAATACAAATAAGACAGTAAAGAGTTACTAATACTTCAAGAGACAATAGAACATCAAACATTTTGGACTATGTTTAAGGATGTCCGATAATATCGGCCGACCAATGTTATCGGCCCGATATTAGCATAATAATATAATATCTGTAAGAAACGTTGTCAGTTTTCCTCCGACAATGAAGGAACCGTTGTCAGTTTTCCTCCGACAATGAAGATGTTTTATTATTTTTAGTGTGCCCTAAAAATAATTTTGGGGAAAAACGGCTGTATGAGAAAGTGAAATCCACTAGATGGCAGCAATGCAGATTATTTTATTAATCTATTTTATTTTGTTAATCTATGGTACCAGCAACTCATAAAGCGAAGAAAACATGGGCTTGTTTTCTGATCGTAAAGTCAGTCTCTAGTGTTCATACCTTGCCATTGCAGGGAAGCTGGGAGAGCTCCGACGAGCACCAGAGGTGGGCAGCGAGTTTGCAGGCCTTGCATCGCAGCCCCTGCTTGGAGTTTCCTGTAAAAGGTAAAAATCTAAGTTTTAATCTTACTTTGAAATTTTCTGACATGGTTAAAACAAATGTAAAAAGATTTTTATTTTTTACTACGTGATGATACAAGTGAAGCTGAAGATATAAAAATGTGTTAAACATTAGTGTCAAACGCTGCTCATTCTTCCACTGCTGGTGCCCTATTTCTTGCAGAAAGTGGGTCTTTGCACCTAAAGAACTAAAGAAGGCCACTGCAGAGATGGTGGCGGCAGCTGAGATCAGCTAAAATATGGAAGGAACTAACTACACTCCACATTTTGCAGGTGACGCCTAATTTAGTCTGTAGGACTGTTGTCGGGTCAAAGGTCGGAAAAGCGGTGACCCTGAGAACCTGCTGAAGATGCCGAAGGGATCATAAAATAAAAAATAAAAAAATCAATGCGTCAGCTATTATTTATCTTGCAGCTGATACGTTTTCTATAACATCAGTTCTAATGATTAGTCTTAAAATATAAAGAAAAAAAAGATGCCTCCATCTGAACCAGCTGGCAAAGTTCAAGGAGAAAATAGTATTGTCAACTCGTGGTATTTTTGGCAACCTGAAATGATTTTTTTTAGACACCCAGACGTCTCAACCCAGTGTAGTGATAATTGGACCAGGGATGTTAAACATAAGGCCCGGGGGCCAAAAACTGGCCCGCTAGGCAGTTCAATCCGGTCCACTTGATGAAATTTGAAATAAAAAAATACACAAAAACTCCATGTTCAGGATATTTTTTGTAACATTATATTTCATTAAATATAAAGAATAATAAATATTTAATATACTTTGTAGACTTACCATGGATCATGTGTTTGCATCGCTGGCAGCTGGTGGACCTGCGAAAGACGTGCTCCTGAAAACAGTGGGTCTTCAGTGTCTGCACCGGCTGGGCCTGGGTCTTTGGCTGAGTGTTTGGAGTGACGGACAGCGAGGGGCTGATGGCGGAGGACTGCGACGACAAAGACGGGTTGGGACTGACGTTGGGGGACAGGCAGGGTGAGTGCTCGTACATGGGCGCGGCCTCAGGGAAGCAGGGAGGAGTCGGTTGAAGTGGGGCGGTGGTGATGACAGCCGGGGGCTGGCGGGGGTCGCTGTTGCTGCGCTGGAAAAAGTTGTCCACGCTTTTGCTGCGCATGACCGACTTGAAGGAGAGGGAGCGCTTCAGTCTCTGCAACTGAGACAAAAACAAACAAACAAACATGTCAGTGGTTTGTTCCTACATGTGTATGATTAAGGAATATTCCCAGGATGTGCGAAAATTATCATTCCTCAAAGACTTGTTTGCATTTTTTTTTTCACAATCCAAATCAAAATTATCTTCCCTCTTGTTCTGCTGACATTGTCTCTTTGATAAAAAAAACCCCCTGCAGATTCACGGGTTTAGGTTCATCCGTTTGGTTTTAAACCAATGATGGGCAACGATTCAGCATTTCAGACGTGCTAATTTGCATTACGTTCTTCAAATTATTTGAAACGATCACATTTTCATTTGCAAAATTTGAGAAAGAATTCAAACGTAGTGCATAGTCAATTTTGAAGTACTGCGACCAGACAGGTATTGAAAAATATTTTCTCAAGCATAAGTATTTCCTTTACACATTAGCATTCAAAAAGCAACTTGCTAGTCACATTTGAAAATAATTAAGGTATCGAGAAAACCTAGTAATATAGGTCTAATACAGTGTATTGTGGAAAAACAAGGTAACCTCGGAGTTCAACAAAACCAAATACTTTGATATATTTGATGAACACTGTAAACTAGGGCTCAAACACAAATGCAGAATTACAGAAACTACAGTCTAATCTTGTAAACAAAATGTGATTAAAATAAACAGTGAGGCCTCACTTGATAACAACTTGATCAACTCACCATCGTCTCTACTCTCCTGCAGGAACAACACTGTGTCTCTCGTCCTCTAAAAGGAACACGTTTGAGAAGCTGTGTGCACAGTTCAGGAGAAAAACAGAACTTTCCTGGCCTCCACCCTCTCTCTCTACACACACACACACACACACACACACACACACACACTCCCATCTACCCTTGCCCTTGAAAGCTGGCCTTTGATCTCCAATCCCTCCCCCTGTTCTCCTCTCTTCTTCCTTCCACTTCTTGGATCCACCCAATCAATACACCTTAAAATTCCCATTTGATTAGTTTTATTGAGCGCCCTCTACCTTCACGTTTGATCCGGGCAGTGATGCATGGCAAACACTGTGTTTATTGTTGGCCCAGCCTGCTTCTATTACCCACATGCTTGGCATCGCCACCTCTGGCAACAATAAAGCGGGACAGATAATGACAAACAATTACAGGGACTTGATGGTGCCCCCCATAGAGTAATTATAGCCACCGCGGACCCAAATGTCTGGTATAAGAGGACAGGGATGAAATAGGTGCGACTGAATAACTGCCTCTCGTCTCTTGTCCCACAAGAGGGACAACTGCAGCATCTGTACAGCTGACTTAGAAAGTCAAGACAGGGATGTCAAGATACACTGATCAAACTGTTGCCCACAGGTAAGAGTACAACTTCATGGCGTTATTTAAATGTTCAGCTACTGCATGTGTAAGACGACAGTGACCTCATCATGTGCACTGCACCTCCGAGCGCTGAAATCAGCCCCCGTAGCCATCTGCAGTCTTTGGCAGAAAATGTGGTCAATAAAATCGAGCAGGTTCCTCTTTTTCTTCTTAAGGCTGCGGCTTCACACATGCCAATTAGTCTGAGTGATGAAGAGACCCGTCTCTGTTGACCTATTAGCGAGGGCCGCTCATAAATGTTGTCTTCTGGGAGCTGAGTCCATGCTTTCCTTAATGGCTCTCTCTTGGCTCGACCAGTGGCCCATTCAGTAATGGATGTTCCTCTCTATTAGATTTCTAACTTCACTGACTTTGTTCATCTTCCTGCCTCTGAAAGACCGCCTCTGTTTACTCTGCTGTGGAACACACACCACTGGTAATCCATCAGGTCAATGAAGCGCCTCCAGCTTTTACAGCAATTAAAGCAGCGACGATGAAACGAGCGTGAAGACACAGCAACTCTACGCTTTGATTTCAAATAAGTTTGACAAGCCACCGCGAAGATGCACAGTAATGACCAGAATCCAACAACTCTATAACACTTTACTGAGTTATATTAGGAGTATATACTTATATAATACAGAAAAATGTCTGGAAAAATATGATGGAACAATAATGGAATAAAAATATAAAGAATTGACTTCATTTGTTTTCTGGTGTCTCAATATACAGAAAGGTTTCTTTGGTAAAAATTAGGGACTATTAATTAACAATTTATCCATTAATCATCATAAATTCCGATCCCAATTAATCACAATCTACTTTTATCACTACTAAACTTCTAGTAGTATATCTTTCTGACTCGCTTGTCCTAAAATTGAACAGGGGCGGGTCAGGAGCCGATAGATGGAGCGTTCGTGTGAACTAAGATAAATAACATGTAAAAGTCAGGCATAAAGGCTAAAATTTTAAAAAGTTTTTATCATTTTCTCCACCATCTATTGGGGAAACATGGGTATTGCAGGGAAGTATAATGATAATATAAATAATTTATATAATTTGGAAAAGTTTGGTGGGTCGGATTAAGTAGCTGAACGAGCCACATCTGGCCCCCGGGCCTTAGTTTGCCCATGCCTGCTCTAAAACAACTCTGACTGAATCCATTTGTTGAAACCTGAATTGCCTACATTGCCAGTCTAAACACATGAAGATGCCATTTGTCAGCTGGAATTCACAACCAGATGTGCTGAATTTCAAGAGCACAAATACACCATACGTTTCAGCCGTAAAGACTGACAAACAGCTGTGCCCCAACAGGCGAGAACAAAAGGAGGAAAGGGATAAAGGAAGACTGATGGTTGTTGGCCTGTCCCGCTGCTTGTGTGGGCAGATAAAGTCACCGTTTACAGAAGAAAAGCTTTTTCTGAAATGACCTTTTTTTTATTCATGTCACAGCTGTTTGTCTTATTATTATCAACAGACTGAAGTGACACAGATCAGAGTCAACAATTGCTGTTGGTGATGAGACTTTTGTGTCCACAAACCTGGTCATGGAACATAACCTGATCCGTCAGGGACGGACTGCACACAGGTGACAAGATAAGACGGAAATACTGAGATACATGAACCCCCCCGATTTCTATACATCATATAGAAATAACGCCTACTGAGACACCGTCACATCGTACATCATATAGAAATAACGCCTACTGAAGTATGATTTGTTCACCTACACATTAGAGCTGAGGAAAGTTATCCTGCAGATATCTGAAAGAAATGTTCAAGTGTCTACAAACTAAGGCCCGTGGGCCAGTTTAAGTCCCAATGACTGCTGAGATTTGCTCTAAAGATATTTATGGGGATAAACCGCTGTATATTAAAGTGAAAGTCACTAGATGGCAGCATTGCAGCTCATTTTAATTAATCACATAGTGATACAGTGGTTTGTACAGATAAATAAATAAATATTACCAGGCCCATATCAGTATTGGTTGATATTGGAAATATCAGCGGAAAGTTAATATCGGCCAACCCTAGTTTTTAAATCCAATAGAACACGGGGTGGAAGAGAAAAGGAGATGTGACCTTGTTCCTGGTCATAAAAATTCTGCACAGTAGAGAGAGATGTTTGGTGAAGGCTTCTATAAATAGGCTGTTGTTGGACTGCCTGGATAAATTAATGATTAAAGTGT